GCTAGCCTAATTTCTATCACACTTCTTGTTGAACAAAGTTTTACGTGATGGAATAGATAAACATGAATTTTAAAGAATGAAAATAAAAATAATCCAAATGAATTAACAAATAAATACAATATTGTAATATGTGGAGGCCCCCAGATTGTGGAGTCCCCTGGGCAGCTGCCTACTTTGCCCACTCCTGAATCCGGCCCTGCTATTATTACTATTACATTTTCGCCCCCCAAGCCCCGGTGTGGGTTAGTGACCTGTGCTCGGGTGGGCTAATCCCCGTAAAAAAAAAATGCTTGTTTTTTTCAATCGTTTAGTAATGTTAATAAAGTTTTTATTGCAAATTGTACATATATTTTCTATTTTAAATTTAGTTGTAATCTTTATGTGAAGTATACGTTAATAGCTTTGTTTAGTTAGTGGAAAATAGGTAAGATGTGTAAATAAAGTCCTTGAGTTTTTTTCTAAACAGACGTCCTTAAATCTTCGTACTAGAGCCACAAACTTCATTGCACTTAAATAAATCCGAATCCCAAGCGTTTTTTTTTCATTTTGGCGGTGTTTTGTTGACCTATTTCCCCAATAAATACATTCTTCCATTTTTTCATGTCTTCTCGCGTCCTCAGCCAACTGATATCCTAAACTTATGAATGGTCGGTATGTTTTGAAGGCGCAATTTGACTGGCCCGCATGAAGACTTACTCTCAGTGTTACATTCGAGTTAAAATGCTATAATAACATCGCCGTTTGTAAGGTTGAATATTATCGACTGTATAACTTAAGATGTGTTACGAGTATCAGGGCCCTGAGTTCACACACTCGCCCACCCAACCTCGAATTTATTACAGTATTATGACAAATGTGACTTACCTTGTACATTCCGTCTCAACTGTAGGATGACTTAACATTTACACACCCGCAACAGCATTATAATAAAGCCTTCACAAAACTGCTATAGAAACTTAAGTAAGAGGAAAAACGCGCAATCACACCTTCCCGCCCACAATAGGTGTGAGCTTTTATTCCAGTCAGACGAGATCCTAAATTACTGATTTTCGTACTTAACGAGGAGAAGGTATTGTCATACTAACATCAATGAATGTTTCAAAATTTAGAAAGTTACCCATATATAATCTTTTTTTTTTCTCGCTGCATACAAATGTCCCACTTAAAACCAAGCTAGCGTCTGCATTATAACCTAATTTGTCATGATTATTATTTTTATTCCAGAACAGCAGTTTTAGCTTGTTTTATGAAACTTAATTTTGGAATTTCATATTTAATATCCGTTTTTATCGTCACTTCTATACTATGTGGCTATTTTCTGCTCTCACTTTGTGTTTTTGGCACTCGCCTAACCTTCAAACTGCTGTTAGTTGATATACACATCTTTAACTACTACTAGTGTCACTTACTCCTATTTCTGTCGATACTAGCCACTTACTAATACTACTACTGCCAGTTACTGCTACCACAGTACTACTACCAGTTACTACTACTACTACTACTCCTATTTCTTTCGATACTAGCCACTTACTACTACTACAGTACTTTTACTACTGTCACTTACTCCTATTACTGTCGATACTAGTCATTTTCTAATACTACTACTGCCAGTTACTACTACTAGTACTTTTACTACTGTCACTTACTCCTATTACTGTCGATACTAGTCATTTTCTAATACTACTACTGCCAGTTACTACTACAGTACTGCTATTACTGTCACTTACTATTGTCACTACTACAGTCACTTACTCCTACTACTGTAAAATTACTAGTCATTAGTACTGTTGCTGCATACTACTGCCACTTACTAGTGTCACTACTTTAATAGTTATTATTACTACCATCCCTTACTGTTACTACTACTAGTCTTCTTTTTTTTTAACGTGGCCTCCAGCCTCCCAATAGCCACATCTGCACTGCCATTTTATTGCCTTAAAATTAAGTATCCTAATACAAAAGTAGCTACCCTAGCTGTGTTGAGTTAGTTGAGCCGTAGATCTATGCAGCATTCAGTGACCCTTTTTTTTATGGGGATTAGCACACCCGGGCACATGTCAATGACCCACAATGGGGCAAAAAAAATAAAAACATAAATAAATTAAAAATAGAAAAGGAAAAAAGTTATATTAATCTAGACCAGTGGTTCTCAACCTTGTTTGCCCCATGCACCCCTTTCACCATATGTCAGAATGTCATTCCCCCCTCCTTTCCAAGATTGTCTGCCTCAAAAAGTGCATTCCAAATAATATGCATATAATACTGAAAATCCTTTATTTTTTCCATATTAGTATCAGTTCCCCCTCCCCTGAAAACCTGAGGGGGGAAATTCCCCCCTGGTTGAGAACCCCTGAATTCTAGACCATGAAGATGCCGGAAAACCAGCTTTTTGAAGTGAGACATTGTATGACTATGAAAACACAGAAGGCAGAGCATTCCACAGTTTGGCTGTGTGAGGAAAGAAGGATGTACTATAACGGGTTATTCTAGTGTGACCGACATCCACAGAGAAACGGTGGGCACCGCGGGCAAGACATGTGTTACGAGCCCACGGCCTTGCTGGCGGTACACAGGATGCCAAATCCACCAAACATTGCCCATTAAAGTACCTGTATAAGAGAGAGAGTGAAGCAACATTGCAACGATGAGAAAGGGAAGAAAGAGTGTCAACTAAAGAAGGAGAGTTAATAAGACAAAATGCCTTTGATTCCACCCTAACGGTTGGACAGAAGAAGAGCCACCCCAGATATGAGAGCAGTACTCCAAGTTAGGACGAATGAATCCCTTATATACTTGAAGCAACTGCTCAGGAAAGAAATAGCTATGGCATCTGTACAGCATTCCCAACTTTCGGGAGGCAACTCTAGCAATGTTGAGGATGTGTGGCTTCCATGACATATTAGAAGAAATGATGAGGCCTAGCATACCTATTTTAGAATTTGGCAGAATGATAGAGTCCTGAAATGTGATTGGTAGGAGAGCATCTAATTTGGAAAGTGTAGTTGGTAAGTACTGAGTTTTATTAATATTGAATTTAACCAAGTTTCTACCTCCCCATTCGGAGATGCTACACAGATCCGCTTTGATAGATGTAATGATATCAGCTCTAGAAACAGATCTAGTTTGAAAGTTAGGGGAAGGGGAAAATGTGAAGAAGAGTGAAGAGTAGAATCATCAGCATAAGAATAGGTAGAATTAGTTGTAGTGTGAAGTAAACCATTGATTAAAAGAAGGAAGAGAGTAGGTGAAAGAACAGAACCTTGTGGGACACCACTATTGGTAGAGAAAGAGCAAGAGATCGGTTCCTCGACAACAACTGCCATGGATCAGTTCTCAAGGAAGCTAGAAATTAGAAAATATAGTGGGGGAGAGAAATCATAAGAGGGAAGTTTAGAAAGCAAAGACTTGTGCCAAACCCCGTCAAATGCTTTGGAGATGTTGAGGGCCATGACGAAAGTTTCCCCATAATCCCTAAAGGAGGATGACCAAAGATGGGTGCAGTAGGAGAGCAGATCACCAGTAGATCTCGCCTGGTGAAAGCCATACTGGTGATCCGACAAAAGAGAATAACATTCAAGGTGACAGAGAAAATGGGAGTTCAAGATAGTTTTGAAAATCTTCGAGAGGGATGAAGTTAAGGCAATGGGGCGATAGTTAAAGGGATTAGAATGGTCACCCTTCTTTGGGATGGGCTGAAACAAGGCATGCTTCCAAGAAGAAAGATAAGTTTGGGTTTTGAGGCAGAGGCAAAAGAGGCGAGCAAGCACAGGGGCCAGAGCTTCAGCACACTACCTCAGAACATGGGGGGGTATTCCGTCCCGTCCAAAGTCATGTGGTGACAGAGAAAAGCACACCTATAAGCTCCTTATCTGGTTTAAAGGTCCCATGCAGTAGGGCGTTGCCATGCACATGGTGTCATTCTGCACGTCTGTTACCACTTCCAGTTCCTTCTATATATATACTATGTACACTGGAGACAAAGTGGCATGTCAGATAGCGTCCTAAAAGTTTTCACTGGCTGATGTGGCAACACCGCAATGTGTAGGCAGGAACACGGCGCTCTTCCCTTCACCACACACACACATTCCACCTTCTCTGTTTTTGTAGCCTCCACATACTCATCCATTTATAGCCATGAGTTACCAAGTCATAGAAAATTAATTATTCTACAATCTGGACCCATGGGAGCCCTTAATAAAGCCTATGGAACCCTAGCTTAAAATGACAAACTATGTCAGTGACCAATTCGTGCAAGACAAGGGATGACATAATTTACGTCAGTGACCATTAACAGGTTAATCTAAAAGAGTATTCATGCAAGTGGGTGGTTGTAAAATAGCTTTTTATGATCACTGAATCAAATTTTCTTTGTTCCCTCCCTCCTTCCTGAATGAAAAAGAGTGAAAGTGGGTCTCATAAACCATGAGGGAGTGTAGAAACAGCACACTGTATACTAAGCCCTTGGTACACAAGGAAGCAGCATATACGATTCTACACTCGACCGCATTCACTTCCCCAAGTTGTAAACTTAGGTACCCATGTACAGCAGAGTGAGCTGGGAGCACATGGAAATCGAACCACTAGCTCCTGGAACAGGATGCGAGTGCTGTATACACCCAACCACTGTGCTCCCTCTCCTTCCAAGTTTAGGGAAAAGGAGGCCAGATTAAACAAAATTTTCTAAAACCAGGGGTACAGTCTTTGATGGAGGAATATCCGAGCCGTCTGATCTATCAGTCTTCAATGACCTCATTTCTTTCCTCTGGATACCTTTCTCTATTAGAAGTGAGTGGTACAGTTAAGAGGTGAAAAGATAACTACCTTTCTGAGGTGTCTAGCAGATGTAATCAAACAGGATAAGGTAAATCACCGACAAATATCTTATCTGACTATACCAGACCATTCGCTTGATGCTTATAATACAAAAAGAAATTGGGGGTTAACCCTAAGATCTTTGAATATCGATCCACTGAAAAATCAGGGTTAGTAATAAGTAGTTACACTATAGGTCTATATATTTCTTTGCATTACATACAACTTTGCATTAAAGGCAAAATTACCAAGTACAAAACCAGTTTGCAATGTTGAGTTGCTAGAACTAACATCCAGTGACAATTCCATTGGACTCTTTAAGATCTGAAAGTCAACATTGGATTTTAAAGAGGCATGGTATTGAGTATATTCTACTCAAATAAAAGGACAAAAAACACACTTGTGGTTTATCAACTTCTCCATACTATCCTCATCTAGAGTTAGGATGATCACATATATATCAGCATTATAATATATGCTGGATGTATTGAAAAATACTGGGCATAATGAGTAAACATCTGAGTATGTCACTACTTGAATGACTCAGGGATCTACATACAAACCTACAATCTTTATTTCATCTTATTCTATAATTATCATAATTTTTTAATATCTATTGCTAAGAGAATAATAAACCAAAGTAGGATCTTTGCTTCAGTCCCTAAATACTATTACTGTATATATCCACCAAAATTGGTCTTTACACTAAACTTGCATTATTCAGCATCCAGCGACAAGATGAATTTATACTATAAAACAACTGAACAAATTCTACTAAATAATAACTAATTCAACTTTTGCTTTAAATACAATTAAGACTCTTTAGCAATATTAACCTCCATCATTGCATATAATGAGGTGCCAACAGATCTCCAAGATGCATTTTTATCAAATGTCTTTCACAAGAGCAATCATCATCTCACTGTAATGATCAAGCGAATTAAAATATTTATATTGAAGACATATTGGATCAGTCATGGCAGTTTCCAAAACAATATAAAACAAGTGACTTGCCACATCAAAAATATTACCAGCTGCATATATTTAAGTAATAACATCAGACTGTTTTATAATCAACAAGTTAACTAATTTGGTACCACTGAAATCCTAGCATCAAAGCATTGCACTGTACTAATATAATATGATAATTTCTAGTTTAAAATGAAAGTGTAAAAGTGAAAAAGACAAAATCCTGGCACAACAAAACAATCGATGCTTAACAAATTACGACACGATGTAACTCTTATGCTCAGGTAAGTGCAACAAATTAGTTATTTAACCATTTTTAATGAAGAAATAAATGATTACCTAGCTTTCAGGCACAAAAATAATTCTAAGCCAACGGAAGCTATTATGAGTATATAAGTAGTGAGGTAAACTACTCAACATCTAGGAGGTTTGGTACTAATCAATAGCCAATGCATTATATCATGGATTTCCATTCTGTAAGACCTAATACATAATCTATACTAGAGGATAGATAATTAAATGCATTACTAATAACCATCAATGAATTTCACATGTATGCAGAAATCCACAGTAACAATATAGATTTGACACTCGGTATGCATGTACAGTATTATGAGGAGGAATGAAAACTATATATGCAAGCCCACCATATGAGAGCCACTATAACAATAAATCTCATGAAAAAACATCCAAGTGATTCTCGATAAACTTTAGCTGGCACCATTCCCAGATCATTCCTCTGAGCTAAGAACAACAAAAATATTTTAATGAGTTTTTTTTAGTTCTGAGTATATGCAATTTACTCTGTGGGTAAATACCAACCTAATTTGCCTTCTTAACTATTTTCATTTTTCCAATATGCCATTTCCCAGTCAACAGCATATTGGAAAACTAAATGCAGTAACCCTCAAACATATCAAATAATGAGACATGGATGAGATATCTTAAAACTGTTTAACTTATATGAAACAATAACTTTGATACACAATTATCTGGAAAACAGAAGTGATAAAATTTATAATAAGGCAGAAAAGATTATACAAAATTAACCCTTTCATCAGTAAGTACATAAATTTACCTATCTTACATGTAAAAGAAGATGAGTAAGCAGGTATATTTACGTTTCCTATTCCTCAGTATCATTCTGGAATGGACATGTTTACCACACGTACTACAAGTCTTACACAGCCAAACATAACCAATTCTAGGTCAAAATTTTCCAACCATCAACAGCTCGGTAACACTTGATGGAGATAAAATGACTTCACTGATTTTAAGAGATTAAGTGAACTGTAAGAAACAAGAAATACTGACTGTGTAACACATCAACATCCCTTTCAGCCAGTTGTTATGACTCGCCCCAAGTGATATCTCCCAACCTCCACTCCATATGAACTTCTAAGTGTTATATATCACTTTCATATTTTTTTTTTTATTAAAACATAAATAAACAAGACAAAATACTGTAATTCAACTGAAATACTATTTTCTTTTTTTTAGCAAAAACCAAATTAAATAAAAAACTACCTCACTGGTGGGCACAGCCAGTTTATGCATACTCTTGAAAGGGTTAATGGGAAAATTATAAAATGCACCATTAAGATGAATAATCTAATCCTAATACACATCGAAAAAACGTTATTCACAGCTTATTTGGTCAAATATACTTTAATAATAATAAAAAAATCCTTAAACAACTCCTATCAGCCTTCCCGAACAATGACTTTATATGCTCCACTATGGCTGGTGGGAGAAATTTTACCTGTCTATTGTTGCATCTTTATCTCCAATATACTGACCTTTTGTTTGTAATATGAGATCTTTTATGACTATTATATATATTTGATATATGTATCCAATTATCTGAAACAAACAGGTACAGTAATATTATCATCAACAAAACAGCAGTACAGTATATTAAGTTGGATGATAAACTTTTAGATGAATAAGAATAATGAAATATCACTAAACTTGTAATGTAGACTACCATATTATTCATGTAACCAAGAAGAGTGCCCACTACAAAAATATATCGTTAAGTTAACTAAAATAAACAACTTCCAAGAACAACAAGGCCCTTATTATAGCCTTTGTAAATGGTGGTGATGATGTGAAGCTGAAGTCATGAGATGGAATAAACAAAAACACTAAGATCAAATACTGATTATTTTTACAACTTACTGCTTCTCTTTCCCTTGCATGAATGATTGTTGTACACAGGTGTTCAATTTCATACAATGCACTAATTTCTATACAGTACTTGTGAAATTATTTATGAGTTCTAAACTGCAGGCAAATACTTGGCAATGAACTTCTTGATGTCAGCCATTTCCTGAAAAGAGTAATGATACAATTACAATACAATACTGTAGCGACTATACAAATCTTTCTCGTACAATACAGGTATCCATCGAGATATGAAAATCTGCTGATAAGAATTTCCTAAATTGAACCCCTATTTCGTGTTACGAAAGCTTTCCCCTAACATGCCCCTAACAGGCTGAGGTAAGAATTATGCTATGGTTATTTTTCAACTGGTAATTTTAGGTATATAAACATAACTTTCTCCATATTTTTTTTCATTCAATTACATACACACACAATCTTACATGCAGAATATGCAAGAAAAATATAAAAAATAATTATTATGAGGTCAAAAACATAAAAGGAATAAGCATTTCTTCATGCACCAGCGAGAGTTAGCAGGGTGAGTTGGGGAGAGTTATGTTATGATTATTTTTCAACTCGTAGTTTCGGAAAGATAAACTTAAACTTTCTTCACTTTTTTTACAGTACAGTATCCTGTACGTACTCAGTTTTCTTCACCTTTTTTTTTTATTCTATTATATGCACTCACAAACCTACATACATAATGTACAAAAAAAAGTAAAAGTAATAACTATCATAAGATCAAAATCATAAAGGGAATAAACATTTCTTTGTGTGAGAGAGGGAGGGAGGGAGTCTTGTAGGTTGGTAGAGGTGGCAGGGCTCGTTGCTATGACAATGCTTGATGGCAACCACACATGAAGCAGCCAGCATCTAAGCAAATGGCACTGCTGGTAACTGTGTTAAACATTGATTTAGCTTTCCCTTAACCCTTAGACCCCACACATTGTAAAACCCGCCCACCCACATATTTCGGTAAAAAAGGCTTTTTTTTTTAATCCACTGTCACCTTATAAATCAATGAGTGGGAAGTGATTGTTGACATGCATATGTAACACTCAGTTCTTACTTAAGACACTTTTATATCATAATTCTCTCTTATAGCCACTGCAAAGCACAAAATAATTCTATTTTCCTCAAAACTACAGTCGGCCCTTCACATACGCAGGTTTAGCATTCACGGATTCGCAAATACGCGGATTGCCCCGCCGGAGGAATATTCTGTACATTGAAGTAATTGAAGTACATTCAAATCGCGCGCCATTCAACTCACGCGCGGCACCGAACACGGGACACCGCCCGCACCCCGCAACCTCACACACACACGCATAGCTCTCCCTCACTCAGTCAGTCTCGCTGTAACCACGCTTGTGTTGACATCAGCATTGTAGTTGCAAAAATATTACATTTCCGTGAATGTATTATATCAAGCACAGTATGAATAGAATATCACTAATATAAGAGTATTTTAACCGAAAACTACTAAAAAAACGAGTAACATATCTTGAATATCGGAAGGCTAGGTAAAGTCTTTTGTTTTCATGTAGTTTATCCTAATTTACACTGAAATGCATTACGTTTCAGCAAAACTACTATTTATTTCTGAGAATATGGAAATGTAATATTTTGCTGAAATGACGTACGTATTACAGTGGAAAGTGACGAAAGCAATGACTCGCTTTCTTTCGTTCAAAAGATGTTACCGTAATTGCTTTTCGAATGGTTTTCAGTTAAAAAACTGTTGTATTACAATAATATTCTATCCTAATTCACTTGTGATGCAACAGTTTTTTTAACTGAAAACCATTCGAAAAGCGATTACGGTAACATCTTTTGAACGAAAGAAAGCGAAAGTCATTGTTTTCGTCACTTTCCACTGTAATACGTACGTCATTTCAGCAAAAATATTACATTTCCGTGAATGTAGTATATCAAGCACAGTATGAATATAATATCATTGTAATATAACAGTATTTTAACCGAAAACTATTAAAAAAACGAGTAACATCTCTTGAACATTGGAAGGTTAGGTAAAGTCTTTTGTTTTCGTCATGTGTTTTATCCTATTTTACATTGAAATACATCACGTTTCAGCAAAACTACTATTCATTTCTGAGAATATATTCATTCAGGCACAGTTTAGGTAAAATATACATGTGCTGTAACATTTTTTTAATTGAAAACGATTCGAAAAACACGTACCCTCTAGCCCTGTTCAAGGAGAAGACTGGGAGGAGCTGTTTGGTGCTTAAGACGATGACAAGGAAAATGATTTTGATGGATTTTAATGAAAATATTCAGAAAGACCCTGGCACTGTCAAGGAAAGTGGCTGCTGAAGGCTTCCGGGACATGGCAGAGGACGAGATTAGGGAGCTAATTGAAGAGCACGACACTGAGCTGACCGAGGAGGATCTAAAGGAGTTAGTAGACTCAGGCAAGGAAGAGGAAGCGAAAGGGAAAGAGGATGAGGAAGAGCACCAATAAATAACGTTGGAGAAGTTGGGGGAGATGACCAGGAATATTGAGGCACTGAAAAACCTGGCCTATAGTAAGGACCCCTCCATGGTGCGTGCCCTGAAATTCATGCGAGGGATGGATGACGTTTTCGCTCCATACAAAAACATCATGGAAGAAATGAAAGAAAGAGATGACAACTCCCCATCACCATGTTCTTTGATCACCGAAGGAGAGATTTAACACCATCAATCACTGGCGGCAGTGAGGAAGCAGCTGAATCCACAGTCGCCCCCACTTCACCACCTGTTCTGGAATTGAGTGACGATGAGCCCAATGACCCCCGCCCTGTCGCCAAGGAGAGGTACGGTACAGTAAAGTGAAATTCTTATCTCTTTTTTTTAATAGCTTTTCTTGCCATGTTTATTGTTTATAAAAATGCACAGCACAGTACAGTTCAGTACAAGTACTGTACATAGGAAGTGGAGGTGCAGTTATTCACAAAACATTTGTGTTTGTTGTCGGCAGTGCGGAGGGAGAGAGTTGGGAGGAGTGGTGCGGTGACCTTTGACGCAGGAGCAGGGATGAGTGGAGATGCCAGCCAGTATATTTCGGGTGTATTAATTGTTTTTATAGCTATTTTTGCATTTTAATATTAAATACTGTTCATTACGTTTCAACAAAACTACCATTTATTTCTGAGAACATAGAAATGTAATATTTTTGCTGAAATGATGTACGTATTACAGTGGAAAGTGGAATAAAATTGTGACGCAAGCAATGACTCTCTCTTTCTTTCGTTCAAAAGATGTTGCCGTAATCGCTTTTCGAATGGTTTTCAGTTGTGGGATTATAAGGCTAATGATAGGATAGAATATTATTGTAATACAGTATGAGTACAGTACAACAGTTTTTTAACTGAAAACCATTCGAAAAGCGATTACGGTAAAATCTTTTGAACAACGAAAGAAAGCGAAAGTCATTGTTTTCATAATTTTATCCCACTTTCCACTGTACAGTAATATGTACGTCATTTCAGCCAAAATATTACATTTCCATATTTATTTCTGAGAATATATTCATTCAATCACAGTTAAGGTAAAATATACTTGTGATGTAATATTTTAATGAAAATACGGTATCGTAGTTTTCTTTTGTATCAAATTTAATTAACAAAGATTGATGTTTCAAATGTAATGAACAAAAATTTATGTACAGTATCTATAAATAAACTTTAACAAATGAATACTTTGTTTTACATCGTCCTGTGTATACCATACCATGCATTTGGCTACTTTGGGCTAGCTATGATGACGCAAGAGATCTGCCCTGGCGACTGTACCGACACTCACAGCTGGTGGTGCGTTGGTGCGTCGTTTCCATTGTTTACTGGTAGTTACTGGTAAATATTTTTCAACCTAACGAAACTATTACCCTTTTAGAGGTCGACCCCCAATTTTTTGCAAAATAATTTGGTCTTAAAAACTCGAACTACACACAGGTATATACGGTAAATAAGGACATGGGGGGCCAGCAGCAAAAGTACACGGATTTTTAACATTCACGGGTATCTCTGTTACCTAACCCCCGCGTATGTTAAGGGCCGACTGTACTATAAAATACTGAACTGTAGGAATATTCAGGTAACACAAAACTTATCACCATTTTCAAATACCTGCATTGTATATACACTATTTACAAGTACTTCTACAGAATTTAGAACTTCTTGATAATGTGGAAGTCTTTGTAACATGGAATGCACAAGGCAACTTCACACTCCTTGCACCAAGTTACCATATCTTTGTGCCAAGGTTCACGGCGGCTGGCAGGGCGGGGAAGGGAGGGAGCACCAGTCTTGATGAGCAGCACTACTGTTAAGCAAATGCCTTTGCTTGCACTTGGGTGTGGAGGAGTGAAGTGTGTCATAAGAAAGGTCTAATGATGTGCATCCCTCACAACATCAGGTGGGTAACTGATCATGAGGCACGAGTCTTGAGACAAATACATGCGAGTTGAGTTGCCAATTACACAAATATTCTATACAAAGTATTTCCTTCTGCCTGGACATTCAAAATACGCTACAAAAATTAAGAACATTCAGGAACGTCACCTGGGGTTTAAGGGCTAATAGGTTTAAAGTAAACCCTCGATAACTCGGAATTTCATATAACTCGACATGGATATGGTTCTCGGAATGTATTAGTATAACTCAGGAAATGCCTAGATATATAAAATTATCTGGGAAAATCTCAGCTTATCTGGCCACCTGCATCACCTACCATGCATCTGTGTCACCTACTATGTCTCTTCATTCTTCGCCTGCAGTGCTGGTAGGTGTTACTTTTTATATTTAGTAATTAAATGTACACATACTGTATATGGGTTGATAATTTTTTATTGTTGTATTTTTTTAGGAGGGGGAAAGGGCCTCGATAAGTCAGAATTTCGGACAACTAGGCAAGGCCAGAGCCCCATATGTGCCGAATTATTAAAGGTTTACTGTAGTTGCATATTTTCATCTCAACAGTATTTTTTTTATTGTTTTTAATGTTTTAGGTAGTAAATGAAAGTACTTGTGTACCATTTATCATTAGTTAGGTAGTTTTTTCGAGTTTGTGGACCAATTTCGTGTTTTGGGGGACGATACTGGGTATTTTTGTCAATGAGGAGCTGAACTATTTTTCCCATATGTTTTACAATTCTAGATACAAAAATTCACCTAATGAATGTTTTTTTGGAGGGAGAACCTAACCAATTCGTACCTCGAGGAATACCTGTACAAATATCTAAAAATGCTAAAGGCAGGCAGAGGTAGTCTTAGTGAGAGAGAATGACACTGCATAAATTACTTAAGTGTTTTACCTACAGTGGACCAAACAAAACATTACAGAAGCCTAAAAAACTGAAGAATGTATATTTTAAAAAATATTCCTACATTTACCTTATACAGGTTGTACCTCTCTAGTCCGGCATTCTGTGGTCCGGGAACTCCCGTGGTCCGGAACGATTTTAGTTTGCTCATGGAGAAAATTAATTTGAGTCTGGTACTTTCGATGTTTGGCTAAATTTTGCCTTATTTACCCTACTTTTTTGGCAAATTACTACCTGTAATAAAGCAACATCCTAATAAACCAACAAAAATAACACAGATAAAGTTAAATAAAAACTAAAAACAACACAGAAAAGTTCTTATGTTCTACAGCTTCAGCTAGAGTTGAACCTGATGACTTGGCAACTTTGTCATCCGAGTAAAAACACACACAACAACATTGGCTGTCCTTATGTTTTCAACTTTACCACCACTAGTGGGTAGAATTTTTGTTTTAAATTCTGAAACATTAATTAAAATATTTATGAACAGTAATAAGTGTTGCTCTCATATTCTTATGTTGAGTAATGACGATATGTTTTCACATGTGCGCACTTACATACGCGATCTCACTTTTTTCCTTTACCATTAATGGTTAACTACTTCCATTGTTCCATTTATTAACATTAAATAACATTACTTAAAACAACCATACTAATTTTTTACATTAAATTTACTACAGCTACAACCAGAGTCTTATTTTCTTCAGTTTTATATGTAGAACCAGTCAGTCACTGGTTTTGTAAACAACGAAAACAATGCTGTCTTGTCTCCTCGTGTGTTTTAATATTCTACGTTCATTTTGCACACAAACATTAATTCAATCAAAAAGACATTCAGTAATAAACAATAATGAATCTTTTGTACATAGAGAAATGACGCTGTTTACACAAGAGTGCACGTCTGAACATTGGCGGGCCGCTTAAAACCGTCGAAATTCGAGTTTCCGCCGTCAAAATTTTAAATTGTGCAGTGTTTATTTTTTGTAACGTCAAATTAAAAACTCGCGAAATTTGAGAACCTACTGTACGGCATTTAACCCTTCAATATGTCTTCAAAGAGACCACGAACAGTGAAAGTGGTGCTAGTGCTTCCAAGTGTATACACAAATCACTATCTATCCAGGAAAAGGGTGAATTCCCATGGTCCGGCACTGGTCAGGTCTCGAGGTTGCCGGACTAGAGAGGTACAACCTGTGAAGGTAATAATCAAATCTATTGAACTTTTATATTATTTCTTGTGCAACTGGCAAAAATTTTAAAATTATCTTGGTTCAAGTCTCCAGGTCCCAGGGGATTTTACATGTTGAACATGTGCTGTTACTACTCAGCTGAAGTTAAAAATACATTACTGTACAGTACATTAAACTTTACATACTGTATACAGTATAAGTATTTCACAAGGAACATGCAAGACCAACTTTACCCTGCACAAAGAACACAGTTAGGGATGGCAATACAGGGAAACAATCATGGATGGCAGATATCAAATTCATGCCCATATATTCCAGTGAGTGATCATTGTCCAATAAAGACATTTTTCAATATAAAGGGACCCCAAAGTTACAAATATCTGACCTGTGAATGAACTCCCAAAATATAATAATTTTCTCCATCCAACATGCAAATGTTTGGTCACAGTAATGAGCCATGGAATTACAGTACTTTATTCAGCAGAATGCCTCTGTGAGATGTTCCAAGCCCCAGCCAAACATGCAACACAATGACAGTGACCCTTCAGAATGTCAAAGAAGTAAAAAAAGATGCAGGTGATACGTATGCATCAAAGAAACAGAGATCATTATAGTATATTGTAAATGAAATTGTACACAATTAAGCTGTCTCAAAGAGGCGAGAGGCCTCACATATCAGGCATTCTTTCACTAGACTCTACCAGGTATAAGACTGGGACCATATAAGGGCAAGGTGTGAATTCTCAAACATGTAAGGGGATCTGTGATGATGAAGTGTATAGTAATTACTGAACTCAGAAAAGAAGTGGTGTGATTGTTGACAAGGAAGAACTTTGATTATGTAGATGGAAGACCAGATTCAACTTCATGTGCCATTTAGCCTGATGGTAATTCAGAAAAATGCAAAGAATGTTGACTTGAAAATACTGTGTTGTATCAAAAGGTATTCACTCAGGATGTATTTCTGGAGGGAGAGACCTGTCAGCAAATCAGCTTACAACAGGCTCATATAACATACAGTACTGTACAGTACAGTATAGTATTTGATTCGGAGATACCTTCCTAACAATGTAATCTATTGCCTTTGAGTCATACATAATGGCTTGATTTGACAATTTTTACACTTATACATCTGATTAATGAATAAACTAGAGAATATGCAGCTGCATAGTACACCACAATGCTATTTACTAAGTGCTGATAAATACACTACAATGCAATGACTTATCTGGGGTCGAGTATGGGATTCTTTTATGATTTTGAACCTAAATAATATAGGAATTATGGTGAAATTGCATAAAGCGTGTTAAAGGGATCCTAGGGGATGGAACCACCCACCTGCATTATTTCCTGCCTGCTGCTCCCAGATACACTCATATCCCCCACACATAATATACCCTTACACTCTCATTTTTTCTTATTTTTATCTTCTATACTACTGTACAATATACAGTTTTCTCTTTATTTATAAGGCAATTTCTGTGATTACTTACGTATAACACTTTATTGTACGAAACAATCAAATCATTGAAAACAGTTGTCGACAACTGATTTTCAGCAAAGAAAGTTCAATCTTTCACATTTTTTATTGTTGATATAATAGTGTTTTACTAACCTTGTTATGCACTTAAAGACCTTAATTGTTGAAGCGCAGTAATAACATTATAACAACAAGTGATTTTCTTGAAGCAGTCCAGATAAGCAGTACAGTATTATGTCCAGATAACCCCCCCCCAATAGATTTGCCCTTTTCTGACTTTCCCATTTTCTGGACTGGGGTCTGCCCCAATTAGCCCAGTGTATCGAGATACAGTGGTCCCTCGGTTAACGAGCACAATCCATTCCAGCAGGTTGCTCGTTAACCGAAAAACTCGTTAACAGAAACCATTGTTTCAATGGGTTTTTGGGTAATTGGTTCCAGCTCACCGAAAATTGCCTAAATTCAACAAAAAAGGTGGAAAAGTACACTTACTTTGAGGTGTGTATGTAGAAGGCTCCTGGATGATGATGATGATGATGGGAATTAGAATGGGGGTGGAGGAGAAGGAAGAAGAGAAGGCATTGGGGTGGAAGAGAAGTCACCCCATGGCACCATTTCACCCATAAAATTTTAGTTCTCTTGGTGTATTTCAAGATTATTTTCTTTAAATCAACACTGCACTGCATTATATATTGTCAATATGTAAAATATATTTCAAAATGACCAATAATTTGCTTGGAAACACAGAAAAAAAGCATTTAGTTGAAGAGAGTCTCAAGCAAGATGTTACCTCCACTGAAAACAGAGAGAGACTAACGCCTGTCTGGTGTGTTAACAGGCTGGATGGCACGCCAGAAACTAGTTTCTTTACCTTCAATTATGTTCAATAATTGTTAAAATGACTAAAAAAGTTAATATTAAACTTTTAAAATTATTGAATAGTATAAACTTCTTGATATTTACTAAAATAGTAAAGAATTTAAGCCTTAAAACCAATTATTGTACTGTATTGGCGGACTAATACTACAGCTGGTGGACCGCCAAATGCAAGCGAAAACATGTTGAAGTCGGCTCGTAAAAAACTCATTAATCGAGGGATTGCTCGTTAACCGAAGTTAAGAATCTTATGGAAGGTAAATCGTTAACAGAAATCTCGTTAACCGAGGCGCTCGTTAACCGAGGGACCACTGTACTACTATATTTCTAGTTAATACTAAAGATAGAAAAGGTGGGGTTAGTACTCTCATACACCCTGTGCTAGTAACTTAATTCAATACTGTATTTCACTTCTCCATCCACTCCCACTCTTCACAAGAGCTAAAATAAATGGTAACAAAGACATCATACACACAAATAAGCATTAGTTCTAATAGCCCCAAGACTATGAGAGGTGTCAACCTCTTAATACACACATATAAATTCTTACCTCTTCACAAGATGAGTGCATCATGCCCCGATATGTCTTGAACTCAATATTGCCAGCAAACTTCTTGATCAGTTGACTTGTTATTTGACCAAATTTGTATGGTACTATTGGATCACAGTCACCATGACACTGAATGATTGGAGAGCCTGTGTTGCTAATGGCAGCCTGAAAAACCAAGAGAAGTTAATTAAAAAAACGAAATATAAAACTGGCAAAAAAAGACCAAAAACAAAAATGTAAAGTCAAATTCTGAAATCCTATTTTACAGCCGAAGGCCAAGGTGAATGATAAATGATATCCCAGCACACTGCAACCCCAGGATAGAGCCCACCCAGCCATGGTTATGATAATTAACTGAAGACAAATATTTTCTTATGAAAAATAAAATTGTTGTAAAAATAAGTACTGAACCGGTTTATCTCTAAATAGCAGGCAAGGCACCCAGTCAGGGGACTAAACTCTCAGCCAATCCCAGCACCACTCATAAATGCACTTCTATAAATACTAGCTCTCTAGGAGACAATGCTTGCCTCTAGCTGCTTTTGCATCTAACCTTTCGCGAGAGGGGGCAGCCAGCACACCCACCTTGGCCCTCAGCCATAAAATGGGATTTCAATATACAACTCTTCATTTATTGCCATGTGCTACCAGTGATTGAGTGGTAATTTGTAATATCCAGATAGGAGTAGGAAGGTGGTGTAGTAGTATCCAAACAGGTCATGGGTTGCACTCTAAGGAGAAATACTTTTCTACTAAACCCTTTATGTCTGCCATTAAAGTTTTAGACTAATCTTCGTACTTCCCCAGAGCCAAGCAGTCTATGTTTGGTAGGTCCTAATTAAGGTTTCTCAGATGAAGGCACTGACTGAAAAAGGCCATGGAAGGAGAAATGTTTTTAATGTATGAACTTGAACAGAGACATCTGTGTTATGAACACTGTCCTCCTCCATTTAGAAATGTTAGGCTTGAGGGCTGTTAGTACAATCTACTCATATATCTAGAACAGGAATAGGCAACCTAAACAAGACAAAGAATATTAAACTTACATGGCTTTCCATAAATCTGTCTGTATATGGACAAGTGATATCTTACCCACCCCTTTTCAAGTCAGTGAATTACAGAACCTCTCTAGTTTGCAATTCTTTGGGACCAACCATTTGGCAAAGATGAGAACTTTGTATACGTACTATGGAGTGGGTATAATATGGGTGCAAAGTACTTTAGGATCATGAATCCAAAATATTAGGTGTATACAGTAATACCCCAGTTAGCGTTCAGGATACATTCCTGGAAAATAGAGCGTTATGTGAAACAGCATTCTATGGGGTCATTATACCATTCATATATGGAGATGCATTCCTGGTGACATTATTTTTTACCTATGAGATACAGACAGTATTGTATGTGAAGGGTACAGGTATTAAAAACTTTTATTACAGTAATGTATCTTTACTACTTAATGAATAACAAATAAACAATATATTGTATCATTAATGACAGTCATTTGATGAATAGTAGTGACGACTGTAATATAATGAGAGAGGGGCAACAGGCCAGTGAGGGAGGGAGGTTGGAGGCTATCATACAACTCTGCTTTGGCTGAAGCTAATCCATATCTGCATCACTGAAATTATGATTTAGGTGGTGATAATAGAAGTAGGGGTATTGATGGGGGGGGGGGGGGGTGGTGAGGGAGAGCATGGTAAATGGTGAGGAGGAGTTGCATCTCTCAGTTTCTTTGGAAACACTGTGCCTGCAGCACTGCTAGATGCTATTGAACAGATGATATCTGCCCACGAAATTGAATGGAAGTATAAATGACCAACAGTGTATCCAAAAATATTATATTACATAACATTTTAAAATACTGTATAAGGTGAGAATGCAGAAAGGTGGGGGTGATTAGAGAGATAGAGTGGTAACACGCACCAGGTGTGTTGCCAAGTGCTCCTCGACAGGAGATCTTCAACCTTCCACCTCACACTTGTGCTTCAGTTAATACACACAATTTTGTCATACAGTAAGACCTACACTTAATATAAAATTACAAAACACATTTATTTGTCAACTGTAGCCATGGGTACTTACCAAAAAACCACTAAACCAGCAACGCATCACAACTTTGGATGCGTTGCTGTGTTAATTCCCGTGTGTGTGTGTGTGTGTGTTGGGGAACTGTAGGTGGTGTTGGCAGACTGTGGGTGGTGTTGGGGGACTGTGGGTGGTGTTGTGTATGGGTGGTGTGGGGGTGTTGGTGGTGTTGGGGGTGTATGGGTGGTGTTGGGGTGTATGGGTGGTGTTGGGGTGTGTGGGTGGTGTTGGAGGTGTATGGTGGTGTTGGGTGTGTGGTGTGGTGTATGGGTGGTGTTGGAGGTGTATGGGTGGTGTTGGAGGTGTATGGGTGGTGTTGGAGGTGTATGAGTGGTGTTGGGGACTGTGGGTGGTGTTGGGGACTGTGGATGGTGTTGGGGGTGTGTATGGGTGGTGTTGGGGTGTGGGTGGTGTTGGGGGTGTATGGGTGGTGTTGGGGGTGTATGGGTGGTGTTGGGGGACTGTGGGTGGTGTTGGGGACTGTGGGTGGTGTTGGGGGACTGTGGGTGTGTGTGGGGGACTGTGGGTGATGTTGGGGACTGTGGGTGGTGTTGGGGGACTGTGGATGGTGTTGGGGACTGTGTGGTGTTGGGGGACTGTGGGGTGTTGGGGACTGTTGGGGGTGTGGGTGGTGTTGGGGACTGTGGTGGTGTTGGGGGATGGGTGGTGTTGGGGGACTGGGTGGTGTTGGGGTGTTGGGTGGTGTTGGGGATGGGTGGTGTTGGGGACTGTGGGTGGTGTTGGGGGACTGTGAGGGGTGTTGGGGGTGTATGGGTGGTGTATGGGTGGTGTTGGGGGACTGTGGTGTTGGGGACTGTGGGTGGTGTTGGGGACTGTGGGTGGTGTTGGGGACTGTGGGTTGTGTTGGGGGGTGTATGGGTGGTGTTGGGGTGTATGAGTGGTGTTGGGGACTGTGGGTGGTGTTGGGGGTGTATGGGTGGTTTTGGGGGTTTGGTGTTGGGGACTGTGGGTGGTGTTGGGGGTGTATGTGGTGTTGGGGGTGTATAGTGGTATGGTGGTGCTGGGGTGTATGAGGTGGTGTTGGGGGTGTGTATGGGTGGTGTTGGGGTGTGTATGGGTGGTGTTGGGGGACTGTGGGTGGTGTTGGGGGTGTATGAGTGGTGTTGGGGGTGTGTATGGGTGGTGTTGGGGGACTGTGGGTGGTGTTGGGGGTGTGGGTGATGTTGGGGGGGTGTTGTGGAGTGTGGTGTTGGGGACTGTGGGTGGTGTTACTGTGTATGGGTGGTGTTGGGGGTGTATGGATTGGTGGGTGGTGTGGGTGTATGGGTGGTGTTGGGGGACTGTGGGTGGTGTTGGGGGTGTATGGATGGTGTTGGGGGTGTTGGGGGGGTATTGGGGGTGTATGGATGGTGTTGGGGGTGTATGAGTGGTGTTGGGGGACTGTGGGTGGTGTTGGGGGTAAACAGAGAGCGCTTGGTGCTGATTGGCCAAGTGACCTTTTCATGGCATGTTGTGAACCTTTGGACTCATGACTTTTGACAAAAAATAAATAAAAAATTCTCGAGAACTCCAAAATACAGGCAAAAGCATTATAATGAAACAGCGCTCTACAGGGTATTACTGTACTATACTTATTTTTGGAGACAAAGACCATAAACACAAATTTGTACCTACAAAAAGGGTATCATTAACCCTAAGATCCCAAATGCAATACTAACACATGGTAAGAAATGGAAATACGTAAATATATTAAAGAATATAACTGGTACTCACCATCCAAGGAGCTGGACCATATAAGAGAAACAGATTAAGACATGCATATACTGTACAGGTATCCCCCATTCAGCTCATTTTCATCTTAAAGCAGTTTTCATATTAGTCAACTTTTTCAGTTAACATGCCCAGTCAGCAGGGAACTTTGTGAAGAGTACAGTACATGATACTCTCTTGGCCTACATTACTTGAGATACTGGAGCACCCGGTTATAGCCAGTTTCTGGTTGTGTGGTGGGATCAAATGTTAACTTTTATGTGCCCTCCCTTAACGAATTGCACTCCAGTTTAAAAGTAAAATGTAAAAGTGTGTCCCATATGCTTGTTAGCCCATTTAGGGTAGTGCAGATACAGCACACTGTAGACTAAACCTGTTTTCAGTACACTATGAAACAGTGTGGTTGGCACTGCACTTGACCACCTACACATTCCCAACAGATGAGTGGATTGTAAATGCCCCAGATGTGAACCAGTGACCCTTAGGACAGGAGGTGAGTGCTATATCCACTTGGCCACTACATCAACAGTTTAAAAGAAATAACAAATAAATCAAAGAAATAAAGTATTTCTTAAATGTGATAATTTTGTCTGTTAGTCACTTGCTACAAGCAAGACGTTCATTACAATTTTATTTTCCATGGTTAATGAATTTATTAATACGTATTAGTTTTTATAACTGTTTAAACTGCTGGGTAATATCTTACAATCTGGGTGTTTTAAGCTGCCTTGTGCTTTTTCATAATTTCAATATGGTGCAAATATTTTATAGTCTCCAATATTTTGTTATTATTACAAAATTTCAAAGTTTGCAGATATTTCAGGATTCACATAAACATATTTCTAATATGACAGACAGTTTGTAAAAAATTATCACAAATGGAGGATTAATCCTGAAATTCCATGTTGTGACAGAGCCTGTAGCCACCAGGCTCTGTCACAACACAGGCTATTGTCCTTGCACAAACCTCCCTTTATATCAGCCAAGGATGACCTGTTAACCCATTCTGAGTAAACCAATCACCCTTTCCTTTCCATGACACCCACTGACCATATATGGGGGAAATCAGGTGCACCAGTTGTCCTTTGGAGACAGGTGGTCTATAAGAGCTGTGTCTGTCCAATCAGCACAGTTAACGTCAGGGCTCGCTCAGCCATCTTTGTTCCAGGTCAATCCACCATTCTGAAATTCAGTACCAGCTGCCTAGGCCACAAACCTAAGGGAGGAGGGAGGGTGTCTGAGCCTCACAACTAGAGGTTCTGCTTGACACAGAGGAGTGATCCTGATATCCTGTTCCATAAACAAGTACTGTATAGAATAAGGACTGAAGGAAGGTAAACTCA